CTGGGCGTGCTGGGGAACCAGGACTTTTACTTTGAAAAAATTAGAGTGTTCAAAGCAGGCCTTTGCTCGAATACGTTAGCATGGAATAATAGAATAGGACGTGCGGTCCTATTTTGTTGGTTTCTAGGACCGCCGTAATGATTAATAGGGACAGTCGGGGGCATCAGTATTCAATTGTCAGAGGTGAAATTCTTGGATTTATTGAAGACTAACTACTGCGAAAGCATTTGCCAAGGATGTTTTCATTAATCAGTGAACGAAAGTTAGGGGATCGAAGACGATCAGATACCGTCCTCCCAAGGAGGCATTGGCCAGTGCCATGGTCAGTGTTTACGGCAAAACTTCCGGTACATACCTCCACCAGGAGGCAGTACTTTAAGAAGTGAAGGGGCACACTTCATAGTAGACTGAGCTTACGCATCTCAGTGAGTGGGGAGGTGAAACTGATGGAAGTGACTTTTGCATTGCAATTTTGGATCCCAGTTGTGAGGCCGAAGCAGGGGCACGCGCGTATCAAAGTGGAGGTGGTGGGTTTAGCGACTCACCACCGAAGATAACCGAGATCTAGTCGTCGCCCTAGAATAAATAATGCCAAACTCGCAGGCTGTAGCTCTAGAAAAGTGGGGCAAGAGTCAAGCAGTTGAAGTACATATTGTAAACGTCCGAAGAGGGGATGGTAATACCCTCAAGGATACAGACACTGCCCTTCCGTCAGGCTAAGTGCTCAGGATCCCCAAATGGGATCCAACGTCGTGGAAAGAAGGGCTATGACTTCTTGAAGCAAAAAGACCACCTAGGGCGGAGGTATACCCGCCCAAACCAAACCAATTCCAAATTTCTAACTATGATGACACCACTGCTATAACCCCGTAGAAAAATCTCAATTTGACGCGCAGAGAGGCAGGGTTCCCACGTGAGAGCACCTCTTCTGTCGCACCCCATCATACGCTATCAGAGAATTTTCGAACCAAACTTTGCAAAAATACATAGCACCGATCGTCAATAGTAAGTTGTTTGAGAGATTGTTTGGCATACACTGATCAAGTTTGCAGTGGGTAACTCTCGGAACAAGCCGGCCGAACGGACTCAGAAGAAGAAGTCCCAGGTCGAAAAGCGCAGAAAGAAGGCTGAAGAAGCCAATCAATCTGAACCCGAAGAAGTTGAACCTGTTGCGGCGCGGAAGAAACGACGGTTGCGAACCGCGTCTCCAGCGCCTCCCAGCAAACCCCCCGCAAAGATCAGCAAAGGCCCGGCCAAGCCCGGCCCCAAAAGCGCAAGATCCGAAGAGAAAGCTAAGCGAAAGCTGAGTTCGGCAACTTCGAACAAGTACGTAAGTCCTGATTGTTGAATAATCCTGCTAATAATACCTGTAGGAACGACGACGAGAACGAGCGTGCCAGCAACCAAGTCAAAAAGGCCAAGAAAGAGCCGACGATCACACGTCTTTCTGCGCAACAGAAGGATAGGATCACGAGAGACGGGCGGGCGTTGTGGATAGGATTCCCTCGGAGCAACGAGAGGATATCTTCAAGAGGTGCCGTACTGACTGAACTTGATTCCTTCGTCAGGAAGGTGTTGCAAAACACCCCCGGCGTGGTAGAAGTGTCAAAGCAGGTGACATTCACCCTAGCAGTGTTTGAATCGGAGAGTGTGAGAAACTCTGCCAGAACCACACTGCAGGAAGCCACGTTCCGCTTCAACGGAACGCCCGTTGACCACCTCGTCTCTAACTTTGGGGAGCAGGAGGCGGACACTAACACTGTCTGGTTCATTCCGGCCCCGCTGCACACTTTCAAAGACTTGGTTGAGACGCTTGTCGAAGCATTTACTGACCGTAAGCTCACACTTCCGGCGTTCAAGGCCCGCAAAGAGCAGAACCAGGGGATAAACGACAACTACTGGGTAGTCAAATTTGACTCCCCGCCAGAGTGGCCTAATAAGCCCGTTTTCCCTTCTGCGCTCGACGGCACGCCCCTCCTCGTCACGACCGACTGGCGCGGCAGTTGCCGTCTCTGCAAAGAGCAAGGCCACCAGGCCTGGGCATGCACCGGTACGACGCTACTAACCCTAGCAGCACAAGAGTATTCGCACGAAGGGAAGGTTTACGCAACCTCTCCCAGCGAATCCGAGAGCGAGAGCGACATTGATCCCTCGTCTATGGACTTAGATTCCAAAGAAGTGCCAAACAATTCTGCGCCCAGTGCAAGTAGCATATCGGAAGCTCCGAGATCCCCCTCTACGAAGAAAACCCGCAGGGGTAAGAGGGGAGAATCCGCATCACCTCAAACCGCGAACGCTAAGAGGCTCCGAAGGGAAGCCAAAGCAGCGAGGAAGCGGTCAGCTTCTGAGGCATTACTAACTCCGGGTTGAAGCAGAAGGGGAAGTGTGTAAGTACTAATCGTTGAGCAGCAACCTTGATATTTTGATTTAGTGATTCTTCTCGCACACTAATCTCGAATACTAACCGGAGGTCTAGTAGCGTGTTCATTTTGTAGGGGTTTTGCCCCCTACACCCCCAAGTCCAGGACACACCCAAGCAAATTGGGGCAGTTTGTCGCTGTTGACGGGGTCAGGTGGAAGGCGTCGAAAGTACGGTTGGGGCGGATATCTTCAAAGATCCCGCGCTCAGGACCAGGAAATCTAGATAGCCTTTTTTTTTTTTTGAATTGAACTACTTATCTTTTCAAACCCGCCAGTCTTGCAAACCGGCACCATGAAACTAATGACTTTGAATGTTAAGGGGGCTGATGTAGAAAAGATGGGCCAAGTGCTCGCGTATTTGAGGGCCGAAAGGGTGGACGTAGCAGTCCTAACAGAGAGCCATTTTACCTACGAGCGTATGCAAAACGCTGAAGAAATGTGGGGAGACTGCCTCTGGGCTACGAACTCCCCACATAGTAATCAACGGGGAGTTACAATAGTCATACTCAATAAATGGAATGTCAAAGGTCAGAAAATGGTAACCACATGGGATGACCAGGCCGGGCGTATTCTGGGCGTTGAGTTTATGTACTTTGGGAAGAAGGTCACGATTATGGGCATCTACGCACCCAATGGGGAAACCACCAAGGTGATGTTCCTGCGCGAAGTAGGGGTAATAGCTGCTAGACTTAAACCTCAAATACTATGCGGAGACTGGAACGCAACCAGCCGCAGAGAGGATAAGAACCCGCCCAGGAAAGAGGACCTACGGGTAGAAGATGCACTATACAGCGCTACGGTGCAAGGGACGTACGTAGATGGGTGGGCAGAAACGAATGGAAGCCTACGAGCTTACACATACTGGTCAGAGAATCGAATGGCGTCAGCCAGCCGAATTGACCGTGTCCTTATTCGTCGCTCCCTGTTCAATCGCACACACCAGTGGACTATTGGGGTGAGGCAAGCCTGGACGGATCATGCTGGTGCAAGTATGGAGTACCTACTAGGCGGAAACGCTAAACAGGGGAAACGTCAATGGCGCATGAACGTTGACATCACCAAAAGCCCGGTGATTGTCGAAGCAATTAAGGCCTATTTGAAAGAAAACCTTGAGCAAGCAATGGTGGGATGGGGCACAGAAGAGGATCTACCTAAGCTATCTTACCGAACTTCAGGGCTCTCTGCGCAAAGAGCGATGGATCAAATTGTAAAATTGCACGAAGGACTGCGGGACACTGTAATGACTGAGCAAACAGCCATTATCAAAAGAAGAACGCGAGCTAAGTCCAAAATCATGAACAAGATACGCGCCTTAGATCAAGAACCACGCCTTACACACCGTCAGGCTAGGAAGATGAAGAAGCTACAGGGTAGACTGAAAGCCCATAATCAAGCCATGGAACGCAACAGGCAGATTAGGGGGTACAACCGATTACTTGAGACTGCACAGGGTAGCACCGCCTCTTTGTGGAATATGATGGATGCCAAACCCGATTCAGAACCGATAGCGGCCATTCAAGACTCAAATGGCAAGGTACGTACCACACCTAGAAAGATGGTAAGAGCCGCTAAGCGATACTATCGCACGCTCTACTCATCTCAGGGGTGGGATAAAGGATGTACCAAGTACATGTTGAATGCCATGCCGAAGGGAGATTTCAGTGATACTAGCGCTGAGGTAACTATACAAGAAATATTGTGTGTAGTTCAGGGCTGGAGACCCCGAAGGGCACCGGCGAAACGGGGAATAGTGTACGAGTTGTACAAGGAATGGAACCAGTATAAGAAAACTGGTGACGATAATGATCTTGTGCTCGCAGACACTTTAAGATCATATGTTAGTATGTTACTTAATCCTCAAGCAAATGAGAATGTTAAGTGGCCACAGACGTGGGCAGAAGGGTTAATCAAGATTATGTACAAGAAGGGAGATGCAACTTCCTTAGACAACTATCGGCCGCTGAGTCTAACTGACCCACTGCTAAAGATAGTTACAGGTGTCTTGAATAACCGAATACGGCTAGAGTTCCTAAAGGTGATTGGCCCCCACCAGACCGGCTTTATGAAGGGTAGACGCATACATGACAATATCATGCACGTACAAGCATTAATTGACACTGCGAAAACGCGCGGTGAAAAGCTGTACATAGCGTTCTTGGATCAGGAAAAGGCATATGATCGGGTAGAGCATGGCTACCTGTGTGAAGTAATGGAACACGTTGGTATGCCCCCACAGATTATTGCCGCGCTGAAACATATGTGGAAAGCTTCAAAATCTCGAGTAGAGATTAATGGTACAGCGTCGTCTCCCTTCAGGTTGGGTAGAGGCATGAGACAGGGAGACCCGTTATCATGCCTGCTATTCAACCTAGCGATAGAACCCCTGGCTAGGGCAGTGATAGCAAGTCCTGACCTACCCGGATTTAAAGATATTAATGGGAGAGCACATAAAATGTCAATGTACGCAGATGATACGTGCATAATAATGACATCTCTATCCCAGTGGAGAGTCTTTAAGGGTATATACAAGCAATATGCAAAAGCCTCGGGGGCCAAACTCAACTTTGCTAAGACACAGATCTTAGCAGTGAACGATCCTAACGCACCTGACGAAATGGACGACGGGATTAAGGTGACAAAAGCTGAAGCAAACAGCGTTACTTACCTTGGAGTGCCAGTAGGGTGTGCCGTAGACTATGCCACAATGTGGCAAGCCAGATTAGCGAAGGTGGAGGCCAGATTCCACAAGATGGAAAGCCGAAATCGCTACCTCTCCCGATTCCAAAGAGTCACAATAGCCAATGCTGCATTCAGCGGCTCATGCTGGCACCAAGCAAAGTGTTGCCCCATGAAAAAGGAGATAGTAGCCAAGTTCATGAATCTAATCCACCGCTTTGTACATAACACAAAGCCCGGACAACGAGTTTGTCAAGGTATTACTGCACATGCTCAGTCATACAGGCCACGATCCGAAGGAGGCCTGGGGTTACTTGATATTAAAACAATGAAGACAGCTATGGTGCTAGGATGGGTAGCAAGCCTTGAAATAGCACGAAAGCGGATACAGGCACAGAGGACGGACGATGTGCCAGTGTATTATTACCTAATTGTCGAAATCATGCAGAAGACCTCAGGGTGGAAAAATCCGCTTATGCTAACACAGCCCTGGATTCAGTTCCTGGGCACCGATAGAAAAGCGAATCCCCCCTCAGTGGCAGTGTGGCTGGGGGCATGGCAGACACACTCAGGAGGGTTAATGCCCCCTCAGGATAAGAACGAGGCAGCCCAGATCAATTTCTGGTACCATCCAGACACCGCGCCACTGGGACATAGTGCACCCCGGTGGTATCAAGGTTGCTGGAGGGAACTGTACAAAGGAACAGGTCTGCAACGACCAGTCCGTGTACTAGGTGACTTAGTGGATGTAGTAACTGGGGACAACTTTGGGGCAAGTCTAGGGACGCTACGAGCTGCGCTGCAATTCCTAGGAAACCTACCACAAGTGTGGAAAGACTGCCTTGAAGAGGACAGAGACGCCCAGGGGCATATGGGAACTAAGACCTACTGGGTAGCGAAAACGCAGTCTCTAAGCCGAAACCGATCCCCTCTGCAACAGGTTAGAGGTATACTCAACCCCTGGAAAGAGGATGAGGATAAATACCTGCCTGTCGAACCCCTAAACCCTAAGAAGGAATGGGCGACGAGCAGCGCATACGAACATCTCCTCTACTTCGCACATAGAGGAGACCCACAAAGAATAGTCCCTGCTGTAAACAATCTATCCGCTTTTAAGCTACTATGCCAAAGGGATAAAGTATCCTTAGGAGATATACCAGATAAGCAAATTTGGTTAGCCCTCCACTCATATCAGCTAGACCGACCGAAGTTTTCGCAACTTCTCTATTGGATAATACACAATAGATTGCCAACAGGCAATGCTTGGATGCCTAATAACGGGGCCTGTCCAGTATGCAATGTCCAACAAACTGCACAACACTTATTCTGGGACTGTTCTCTTGCAACAGCAGTCTGGAAAGAATTTAAGGTAATTTGGGATCAGATAGCCCTAGCCAGGCCATCCCAAAAGCAGATGAGGTTTCCAAAGTCATGGGCTGAAATGCTCCTGTCATGCGTAAAGATGAAGATTGGGCCTAGTCAGAGGAATAAGTCAAGGAGTGAACGATGGCGTATCCTCTGGGGTTGTGGCATGTGGGCAATTTGGACACACAGGTGTAGGTGGTCATTCCAAGAAATCCCAAATATGTCAGAAGGGGAATTGGTAGGCATGTTTAAGTATCTAGTAGCGATAGATGCACATGCCCGCCGCCTGAAAGCAATAGATAGGGCAGATCCAGAGTTATCTAAACAGTTTGCAAGAATATTCGGCTGTGATGTACGTCAAAAGGAGTTCCCTAGGTTCATGGATCTAGGGGCTTAAAAATAATGCCTATCTAAATAGTATACCTCTTAAAGGGCTGCGGCAGTGCGTTCTTAACATAGAGGAATACTTATGCTAAGTTTACAAATCCATTAATTAAATAAATATGCGTGAAAAGTCTAACATAATACACTATCTAGTATAAGAACCCTAGCAAGGGTAACATGTAGATAAAAGGAGAGAGGTCCCTAGAGTTGCGTCTAGGTATGCTTAAGTCTTTGCAATAAAAATCTCGCAATAGAGGCCTTGAAAACCTTACCTAAAAATGATAAATCTAAAGACGATCAGATACCGTCGTAGTCTTAACCGTAAACTATGCCGACTAGGGATCGGGCGATGTTCTTTTTCTGACTCGCTCGGCACCTTACGAGAAATCAAAGTTTTTGGGTTCTGGGGGGAGTATGGTCGCAAGGCTGAAACTTAAAGAAATTGACGGAAGGGCACCACCAGGCGTAAACGTGACTGTTTGCCGCAGTAGCTCTGCGCCAGAAAGGAGCCAGTAATGGTAAGTGGTAGCCGTCGTTAAATCCTAGTCAACTGCTTTGGAGGCTTTGGCTGCCCGTAAAACGGCAACCGATGTCCGATGAGAGAGCTTTTGGCGACACCGTCAAATTGCGGG